CCCCTTGACTTTAAAGCTGGATCCGCCCCGCAAAAAACACGTTTGTGAAATTTTGATTTTTCATCGAAATTTTCTAATGGTTGAGGTCGATTTTCGCAAATAAATCAAAGTCTCAAAATGCGTCGAATTTCACATCATTTTGATCAAAAGAATGCGAGGAATGGAAGGAACTCTTTGAAAAACACGCTGGAATCCTCGCTTTAGAAATAATCGGTATTTCTTGCCTATTTTGGGTCGTTTTTGAACGGTCGCGATCTTTAAGCGACGAAATCTTCCGTATTATTGACCCAAACACTTCAAATGTGTATATTGGGCAGCTTCTGAGGTCGCAGTCAATTGAATGAGCGCAAAAAACACGCTTGTGAAATTTTCAAATCCATCCACACGTTCTAATGGTTAGAACGTCGATGTTTCGCCCTTTAACCGACCACCATCGACGTACTATCCCAAGTTTCCGCGTGATAAATTTCCGATTGCTCCATACGTAAATGGCTGATTTTCGCAATATTGATTGCTTTCGGTCGCTCATTATACCACACGTGCCCTTTTGAAGTTTTCCCAAGATCTAGCGACGCCAAAACAACACGTTAACTAACGCACTTGCATTTCGGTGAATCGGCGCCCGAAAGACTAATTTTTTTTTTATTTGCAGGGCCTTTGAATGAAATTGCCGGGTCAAATGAAGATGACCATTCTACACTCGTGCTGCTGTTGGAATTCGGTTCGAAAAGGCAGCCTGGCTTGTGGGGTTTACACGGGGGTAAGCAATCGAAATAATCCGACAAAGAAAAAGCGATTCTCATTAAGAGGCAAGTTCGAGTTTTATGCCGTCTAATCTCACGCAAAAGAAAACTTTCCAAATGCCAGTTTAGGCAACTTCTGGATTTTCCCAACGGGCACAATAATCGCCCATAAATCCGGCATGTATTCGGTTTTATACCCGCACGTGACCAAAATGCCCACTTTTTGCAGAGAATCAGGGCTTTTTCTTCGGAGAAATCTTTTACTTTCCTTCACATCACTGCCATGGTTAGGAAACATCCTTTTGCTTTTGGCTTAAATTGTATTTCCCAATTTAATTGCTTATCGGAGGCCAAGTTCGGGACCCCGAACAGGTAAAACCCCGACTGCAAACTTCAACAAAAGTGACTTTCAAAAAAGAAAAAATAGGCCCTTCCACCCTTAATTAATTGATAAAACTTGTACTACAAGGCAGCACAATGAAGAATTTATTAACTTTAAAAGGCCGGCAATTTTGCGGAGCAAGTTTCGACTTGAGTAAGGGTCTTGTCGGGGTTTAAGTTTCCTCCAGGTCCAAGAGTTTTATTGCTGATGAAGTTTCTCATTGCGCCCATCAGTCGCAAGGCACTTTCATGTAGAGTTTGCCTGCCGTACGATTTGCGTAGTCCTCGTAGAACCACGGGGAGGAGCATCGACAGGCTGAGAGGTTTCATTGGACGTTGCTATGGATTTGTTATGGTTGCTGGATATACGATATTATACGGGGTGTGGTCGATATTGGACGTAAATTTCGCGTAAACAAAAGAGGAATTAGCCAAGAAAGGCTGTCGAAACCGCCAACAGCCATAAATTTTAATCAGCCCTTTCCAGTCGGCGGGTGCAAACTTTCGGGCCCCTTCATGTGCTCGATTTTGGTAGCACGGCGACCGAACTGATTTTCGTGTTTTGTTGAGATTAACAGGGCTCATAATTAAACTCATTTGCGTATTCCAATAAATCACTTTGCGGCTTTCTCTCGCCCAATTTTCAAACACTTCCCAGTTTTTGGGGCTATAATTAAAAAGCTTATAGCGCCACTTACCCAAAATTGCTCATTTAAATGCAGTTCTTCGCCGGCATTTTCAGTTCTTTTTTTTTTAATTGAGCAAAACCGCTCCTTGACAGGAATCAACTGTCACACGTCTTGCTCCTTTCAGATGCAATTAACGGATGGTTTGGCGCATGTTTTCCATTAAAACACCCCCTTCGGGATCGAGTAAACGAGCGCAGAATGCGTTTTCGGTGCAGTCCACGACCAGGCAATTTATATGCTAATTTTCGGCAACATTCGAGCGGCGAAAATAAGCCGTCTTGCTCATTCGATCCGATTTCAATCCACCGCAATCTTATAGGCCGGAAACGAGCATTTCAGGGTGGCAGCTGCCCGAGCCTGACTATTTTGTCGGGAAAGTCGCGTCTAGACGAAAATCCCCCGTAAAAATCAAATTCGAATTTCAGGCGCGTAAGAAACATCGCTTTGAATCGAAAAGCGACAGTTTTGCCGCTCAAATGGATCGCGCTGTGGGATTCGCCGAATAAATTGGCAATATCAATCGCGACACCGGTTTTAAGACGATAACGCCTTAAAAAATGATCGAGCATGCCAAAGGTGAAGGACGATTTTTTGAATCCAGGCAAAGAATGGAAAAGTACACATTGACACAAAAGGTGCAACATTTGTCTCAACTGGCGTATTTATATTTCGCTGGCTCCCTTTGCGAATGTATGCGAAAAACTCAACAATTTCGAATCTGTAAAAGTCAGAACGTCGATGGTTGCCACGTCCACGCATGGCATGCGGCAAAACCTGGACAACCATCGATGTTCTGACTTTGAGACAATACTTTTACGCCTGATTAAATACTAATTGCCGTTTCTGGTCTTCAAAAGTACATTTGTTATTGCAGAATCATCAAGTTTAAACAAGTTTTCTTCAAATCCGCGTTGGTAAGTTAGGAGCTTACTAAACGGCCAAAAAATTCATCATTTAGAAGCAACGATCACGAAAGCCTACATAAAATATGAATCTCCGAACATTTACCTCTTTATAATGAAATTTCTCACTAACCAATAGCCGCCTAAATGGGGTCGAAAAGTCCCATCTGAAGCGGAAAAAAAAACATTTTGTTCGCTGTTAAACGATCGAAATATCGTTCAAGTGGTGCAAATGACGTTTAATTGAAATTCCCAACTCGAGTATCTGGAGCTGAGCGACCGAATATTATATAGTAGGTAGATAACGGAGCCCGTTCCCTAATTGAATTATAATAAACTTATTACTTAATAATGTACGTGTCTGACAATGAACAGCTTCCGGTTGGGGGCGCGAATTTTGAATTCGCAGCAATCGCAGGTGGCGTGTATAAATTAACACGTCAAAAGTCAATGGCGTGCCTGGAATACCGTTTTGAAGTTTGACCCATCAGCCAACAATTGCGAATAAAGCGCGTTTCGCTCCTTAAACCATCATCAACTAATCTGAACTGCGATTTCACAACCTTGCAAAATCCCTAGTTTTTCAGTCAGATAAAGGACATTCTTCATGCACAAGAAATTGTAATTTTGCTACTTTAAACAAAACGCGTGTACGACACTGTCGACTCCGATGGAAAAACCAGCTTTAACTCAAATGGAGGGCCCCTGCCTACGTAATTTGCTCGACAAGAAGCATAATGTAATCGAATTAGTGCACAATGGCGTAATGAAAATACCACATTTGCCCCGGCCGTTATTGAACGCCCCCCCTTTTGCATTCATTGCTCATTAAATAGGAAACAAACATAAAAACCGCCTCATTATCACTCGAGCTCGCGCTCTAAAAACCCCATGCAAAATGGAGCTGACGTTCTGTCAATTTCACACCTGTAAACCAGTGACGTCATTTCGGTTCAGCCCTCATTAAGGCCCGGTGGTACTGAACTTGTTTTACCAAGTTAAACCAAGCCGGAGCTGGACAACCGGGCCTTAGTAGACTTATCGGGTCAATAAATAATTTTGGCAACAACGGTATCGGTGCACGTTCATTATGGCTGGGGGGCCATAGCCTGGAGATAATGCGACGTATTCCGTAAATTACCCCGCATAATACCGACTGCAGGTGAGATAAAATTAAGCCGCCAGAGACGGGCGCTTTGTTGTCCTAATTGGGATTATTAATCAGGGTAAAAACCACCCGGTTGGGCGACAGCGGCACCCACAATAGAGTTTGGAGCAAAAGAACGAACCCCACCGTCTGGTAGAGTTACGGCTCGGGGATGACAAGAGAGAAATGCGGCAAACGAAAAAAAATAAGTGGGAAAATTGGACTTTGCATCCACTAGTGTCACAGTTAAAGTGAAAGCAACCGCCCTGTTTGGGCTACTGCCGAAGAAAAACCTGATGTTGGTCAATAAATCCGCATTTGCTTTCTCCGGGGAACGGGAAAAATGATCATCGCCCGCGGAAATATCGCCCCAATTCTATCTCGAATAGCCGAGATTTGCGGCAAAGATGTTTTGCGACCGGTCACTGTGAAAAGGGTTTTGACACATTTTCATTTATTACAACGAGCCCTTTGCATCAAACTATGACAGGTGGAAAACGAAATGGGTTAACTGTCTCTGGCTGACTTACGACAGCTCTGTCATCCAGTGAACGATCTCTGCTCAATAAATGCTGACATCTATTTGTCAATTATGACATTGAATGCCTTTGAACGTTGAGACACCCTGTACAGTTCGCGTTTGCGTGATTTATGGCAAATATTTGCGAATTGACGTTAATGGTGGCGATCACGCACTTTGCCTCCCAACGCTGTCGAAGATGAGTTAATCGTTATGATCGCGAACTTCTAACATTTGAATTATGAAGAGTTTTTTCCGTCCGTCCGAAAATTCTAAATGAAAGGGATTTTTTGCGGCTTAAGCGGACAAATAATTTTTTGGAATAAGAAAAATTTACTGCTTTCGGAAGGACTTGAACCTGTCAAGTTCCAACTTGACACTTTCGTATCATCGTACCATCGTATAAACGGATGCATGGAACACAAGCCGCGAAAAATCCCTTTCATTTGAATTATGGTAGTTTTGGCCGAGTAAACTGGAACATTAATGGAACGTTAAGGTGGAAAAGGCGCCGCGCTGCGATGTTTCTCATGAGCCGCCATGTGCGTGCGAGCGAGAAAGCAAGAGCCCGCAGGGTGGGGACGGCCATACGTAACGACCATGATACAATGAATACAAGGTAGGATATTAATCGGTCGAAAACTCGATTTTCGTGCGCCCATGACGTCACTGGTTACCACTTAGGTAAAGTGAACAGCATTTAAAATGCATGTAACTTAGACAGATTTTCACTGAATTCAAAACGCAATAGTTCAAAAATGGAAAGCTATATGAGGATATGGTTTGCAGCATTGCATAGCTGAATACTTTGAAAATCGCGTTTGGAACCTGAGAAAAATACCCTAAATAATTCTTTATAAAATCTCTGATTTTCAGCGTTTTAGCGTGCTGTGTTGCCAGAGTGTCATTTGAGAAATCGAGCTGAGCCAAACGAAATAATGAATTAATTGTATCACAATGAATGAATGCACTGTTCATACAATGAATTGATTGCATCATACAATGAATTCATTGTCATACAATGAATTCGTTGTATCATGGGGTCAATGCGTTTGGGCATGTTTGGGAATTTTGTAGACAAAACTGAGCATTTTGCGTTTGGTAGTTGGAAAGTGTACTCTAGATGGTTTGCTACTTTTAAGTGACGGTTCAGAAATATAAAAAATGCGGTGTGCAGTCATTTCATTTGTATTAAAATTTACATATCCGCGGCACCACAAACCGCATATTCCGTCGTAAATGATAGGAAAGTAACGTTGGGTCATTGTTTGAACTTCCGCCTCGTGAAGCGTAATGTACTATTTCTGCAAGGATACATTTTCAGCCAACGCTATACTTTATTGCACAACTGGCAACTGTGGTAGTGTGCAAAATAAATACATGTTCGTTACTTTTAATTTTCAAGTCTAAAATCTGCTGCAAAGCATCTTGAAATTATAAGGAGGATTTTTTAAAAAAATAATTAAATGTGACAAACACTAAATAAGCTATATTTAATCACATTTAGCAGACAGGAAAAAAGCACGCCAGGCAGTGATTTCCACTGACGTCACGAAAATCGACGCAAGATCCTACCTTGTATTCATTGTATCATGCGTAACGACGCCGTAACGCATCCCAACCGATTCACACTGTGCCATAAGAAGTTATCGCTTCAAAAATAAACAAAACGTAAAAGCTGATGAATTTTTGCACATTTTCCGAATCTGTTGCGACCGTAGCAGTGCTGGCAACGCTGATTCTGAATTGAAAAGTCGCCAAAGGGAAATCATCCAATTTATGGATGACGTTTGCATCAGCCTGTATGGAGATAATCAGGGCCGGCTCATTGAGTTTCCGCCATTTTTAACACAATTTAAGCAATCCTTTTACCAGGACCGTGTTCGATCCAATTACTCGCGCCACTGCCGCTTGCCAGCCAGTATATCCGAAAATGGCGCACCCATTTCACAGTCGGGTAACTGCATTATCGATATTTGCTCGGTTTTTCGGGGAAAAGTGTCTTTTTACGCCTAAGTAAATTGGCGTCTAAAAGCAAACGCCGATTTCCCACATTCAAGCCAATGGGCGCAGATCAGAGGCGAAGCCCGTCAATAGCTATCAGTCAAGTTTGCAAATAAAGCTGAGTCAAGGGCGGGTCCAACTTTTTTTTT